AGGGGTAGGAGGGAGGGAAGGAGAAGAAAGGTAGAATGAGTTGCTTGAGATTATCATAATTTTAATAATGAGGTACTAGTTTTACTCTTCCATTTCAGTCTCCAAACCCCATTTTCAAAGAGCATTGAACCAAAGAGGATTGAACAATATGCTTTATTCAGTCTTAAAAATATTTAACAAGTATTCTAGGTCTTTGAAGTGCTGGCAATTTCCAACCCAGAATGGTCAAGGACAGGAGAATATTTGGGCTCATCAAGCATTCTTAGATGGAATGTCCTCAAATTACAACTATGGAAATGCATTTTTAGTGTTTAAGAAGTCAAAATAAAACATCTGTCATATACTTTAGTTTGTAATAGAAGTTATTATATTGGAAGTTCCATAAAACTTCTTGATTATTTTTTTTAGCCAAAAAGAAGAGAAAAGAAAAAAATGTTATTGTATGAGTAATAAAAGCAGAGCTAGTCCTCCAGATGCTGTTAAATTACAAATCCCATAATCCCTGGCTACTGATCATTCTGAAGATAAAGTCCAACAACAATTGGACTGCCATGGACCTCTACCCTGAAACAGTGTATTCAATGTTTTCTAAGGGTGTCTCTGCACCGTAGAAATAATGCAGTTTAACACCACTTTTAAGTTTGGTAGCTCCATCCTATGGAATCCTGGGATTCTGTAGTTTTACAAGGTCTTTAGCCTTCTGTGTCAAAGAGTGCTGGTGTCTCACAAAACTACAAATCCAAGGTTTCCATAGGAATTTGCCATAGCAGATAAGTTGGTGTCCAACTGCATCCATTATGTGTAGATCCACCCTACAATCCATGATAAATTAGGAGCAGTATGGAAAGCACATGATAACCCGAGAGACCAGAGATTTGCATGGGACTTGAATTCTAAAGTAAAATTTGCCTGGAACTAATAATACAATTCTATTTTGTACAACAAGCTGCATAAGGGGATTCTAGATCTCAACATGAAAGACTGCTTTGCTCTTTGACACTCTGACTTTCCCATCTAAAAGCAGGATATCACATCCAGATCATTTTGATAATACATTATCACAGAGAACTTAAAGGAATATTGTAATTTTGGCAAAATGGTAGCTCACACAGTATAACGTAACTTTGCTATCCAAGTCCCTTTTAAGAAAATTGTTTTCATGCATTTGTAAAATTGGCATACTTCCAGATCTAAGAAATCTGGCTCCCAGCTAATGGGATGATGTTTCAGACCTTACACATGTATTGTTTTAATCCACAACTAGGAAGATTAGAACTATTTTCTCACCTCTGACACCTCTGAAGATGTAAAGACAATCTCAAGGTGAATTAATATGCCATGGTTATGTTAGCAATCCTATACACACTAACCTGAAAATAAAGCTCACTCAACTCAGTGGGACTTATTTCTGAATAGATATGTCTAGGATAACACTAGATAGAAAATATGTTATCATGTGATAATTGTGGTAATCACCTAAATGTCATGGTTGTTAAACACATCCACTTCTGTAAGACTCCAAGCAGAGCAGAGGTTTAACTTCATTTCTCTAAACTGAATTCAAATAATGAATCCCTCTTTTACTCATGCTTCTACCTGTAGCTTCTATATGCACACACACACAAATTATAACACCCACTCAGCTCTTATATACCAGAATAAAAATGAATGAGAGACTTAGCATGAATCAGTCTTTTTTATATATTTCCTATAGCCTGGTAATAAAAGGAGGCAAAAATTGTTACTGTGACAATTAATTTCAAATACTCAGCTAGCAGTCAGAATTTATGTTGGGGGGAAATGAGAGAAAGAGTAATTAAGGGAGACTGCTAGAAAATTGAGGGGAAAGTACCAAGCAGTAATGGTCAACTTGTTTTCAAGTTGACATGTTGGCTATTTGTGCTAAGACATGGTTTATGTTAACCATAATTTAAAACTCCAACTGTGGCTGAAGCTTTCAAATGCACCACAGGCAAACCCAGGTCTATGGCTGTCTATCTGCTTTTGTTTCCTTTCACCCAACTCTCAGCCTCATGAATTCATGTCTGTTTCCACAGTGAAGGACTGTTGAGAATGGGAGTGAAGGTCATTACTACTGTTTATGAATTCAGATATCACATCTAACCATGCTTAGCACAAAGCATGGTGTGCAATAAAACCCACTCCACACCATGATTTCCAGTTCTGATTTGCCAGTCAATCATAAGGCAATGGGTTAAATCCAACATTATTCCAACATAATGTAGATCCTTCTTCCTACTCACAACTAACAAGTACTGTTAATTTAAGTTGATTTATCCTGGGCAAAAAATAGTGTTGGATTTAGCCCACTGTTTGTCAGTTGGGTGGATTTAGCCCACTTAGCCACAGCTAAGCTTTCTTAGCCAAGGCGTGAAGTAATGACTGGTTACAGACTTGAATAAAATCTCACTAACAGAAGCATTAGTTACTATGGCTAATGCATTATTGGTTGGTCTGACACTATTGTAATGAGCTCTTCACTTTAAGAATAATGTTGTTCAGTGTCCATGCTTTTTATTGATTCTGGTTCACAACTAATTCTGACCTTGCATTTATCTTTTGTAAAATGTGGTAATCATAAAATCCACATTGTTGCAATCTTCCTCATGTTTCATCAAGGAAAAAATATGTTGGAATTCTCTATTGTTCCAATAATAGCAGGCCTACAGGTTGTTGGTGATTACAGATTTTCTGTGACACAG